CATTGTAGTGTCCGACTTAATTTTTTGAAAAGTGTTGGTCAATTTTAAGGGTGTAAGTGTTTCATTTTGAAACATATGGGGTTTTAGTTTTTCCTTAAACCTCAGGGGTATCAAGGAAAAACCTTTATTGCATGAGAAACGTGGGACTATAGTCAAGCAAATAAATCAAAATGTGGTTTTGAGTCAGGCTTTCAATGACATTTCTTTCAGTATTACGTACAAAATGAAAATAAGTGCAAGCTTTAGTTATTTGGCAACTACTAATTCTACAAAGACAAGAATGACAGTAAAAAATCCTCTTAATAACTTATAATAGTAATACTATGTGAGAAGTTTTAATTGACACTCCTAAGATTTAATGAAGGATCAAGGAGAACTGCATGTTTCAGAATGAAATGCTTACACTTTTGTAGTTTAATAATGAAACACTTACACACTTGTAATGGAATGACAACACAAAATAATAATAATAATAATAATAACATATTTTATTTCCCAAATGTCTTATAACTTTCAATGTTTAGTATCTTTTAAATCATTTAATATATTTAATATTACAAGGTGTTTGCTAAACATTATTCTAAAGTACATTAAACATTATTCTAATGTGTATTTCAATTTTAAAGGTGTAAGATTTTCATTTTGAAACATGTGGGGCTCTTTGTCTTTTCCTTAAACCTCAGGGGTGTCAAGTAAACACCTCTATTGCGTGAGAAACGTGGATCGATAGCTGAGCAAATTAAAAAAATGCAGTTTTAAGTCACGCTATCAATGACATTTCTTTAAATATTACATACAAAATGAAAATTAATACAAGCATTAATTATTCGATAAGTACTGATACTACAAAGACGAGAATGACAATAAAAAAAAATCTAAAAATCACTTAAAATAGTAATACTATGTGTGAGGTTTTAATTGACACCCCTGAGATTTATTGAAAGATCAACAAGACTCGCATGTTTCAGAATGAAATGCTTATACGTTTGTAATTTAATAATGAAACAATTACACCTTTGTAATAGAATGACAACACAAGAAAAAAAAACAAGTTTTTTATTTCCTAAAAGTCTCATAATTGTCAAAGTTTAGCATCTTCTAAATCATTTAATATATTTAATACTTTGGACTTGTAACAAATGTTAGATATTAAATTCATTTGATTTCAAGAGTAGAGACAAAATAAGGGTATATTGTCGTTGTAGTGTCCAAATTAATTTCTCACAAAGTGTTTGTCAATTTTAAGGGTGCAACTGTTTCATTTCGAAACATGTTGAGCTATTTTCTTTTCCTTAAACCTCAAGGATGCCTAGTAAAAACCTCTACCGCGTGAGAAACGTGGGTCGATAGTCAACTTAATAAAGCATAATGTGGTTTTGAGTCAGGCTATCAATGCCATTTCTTTCAATGTTACATACAAAATGAAAATAAATACAAGCTTTAATTATTCAGCAAGTATTGATATTGCAAAGACAAGAATGACAGTAAAAAAATCGCATAATAACCTAAAATATTAATACTATGTGAGAGGTTTTTTTGACACCCCTAAGATTTATCGAAAGATCAAGTAGACCCGCATGTTTCAGAATGAAACACTTACACATTCCTGGTTTAATAATGAAATACTTCTACACTTGTAATAGAGTGACAACACAAGAAAAAAAAAAAAAAAAAAAAAAAAAAAACAAAATTTTGTATTTCCCAAATGCCTTATAACTATCAAAGTTTAGTAGCTTTTAAATCATTTAATATATTTACTTTTTTGATCTTGTAACAAATGTTAGGTATTAAATTCTTCTTATTGCGGGGGAAGAGACAAAATAAGGGTATATTAGTCATTGTAGTGTCCGAATTAATTTTTCAAAAAGTGTCTGTTAATTTTAACGGTGTAAGTGTTCCATTTTGAAACATGTGGGGCTCTTTGGATTTTTTCTTAAACCTCAAGGGTGTCAAGAAAAAACCTCTACTGCGTGAGAAACATGGGTCGCTAGTCATGTAAATAAACAGAATATTGTTTTATGTTAGACTATCAATGACATATCTTTCAATATTACGTACAAAATGAAAATAAATACAAGCTTTAATTAGTCGGCAAACACTGATACTACACAGACAAGAATGATAGTTAAAAAATCTCATAATAACATAAAATAGTAATAGTGTGTGAGGTTTTAATTGACACCCTTGAGATTTATTGAAAGATCATGAAGACTTGCGTGTTTCATAATCAAACGCTTACATGTTTGTTGTTTAATAATGAAATACTTCCACGCTTCTAACAAAATGACAACACAAGAAAAAAAAATTATTTCCTAAATGTCTTTTAACTTTCAATGTTTATTATCTTTTAAATCATTTAATATATTTAATATTTCTGAGATGTTGACGGAGCCCTCCTTCTAGCGCCAAAATATTGATACAAAAATCTGCATCAACTAGAGTGATTCGATCAACCCTGGTGGGATTGGAACTGGTGTGTGCGTGATTATGAATAACTAGCAATTAATGAATATTGAATGCAGTAGAGTAAATGGCAAAGAGGTTTTTAAAGTGGTTCGACAAGATGAACCCTTGAGCCTACGTCCACTGTTTTTGTATTTGCTATGAGAGCTTACAATAATAATTCTAGAGATATTTTTCAACCCTTTCTTCATCGTTTGAGGGAGTTTATATACAGAGTTTGTACAAAAGAAAGAGCCAAAATAAAGAGATTACAATTAAATTGAAATGCAACTCCGATATTCTCATGATTGGACATTGTGATTGCGCAAAGATTGATGTCAACCTGATCCCTCCCAAGATATCTGGGATCTAAAGCTATCTAGGAATTGGTTGAACAACCGCAAGGATTGTTCGTGACTAGCTTGTGCTAGTCGAGCTTATGCTAGGTCGGACAATCAGTAGAGTTGAGCTAGTTTTGGATCAATTTATAACCTCATGATACTCTGAGCTTGATGGAAAAATCACACACAACAGGAGCGTTTGGATGAAATATCATCTACACCGAAATCATCCAGCCATGGAAAAAGTGAACCATCAACAAACAAACCAAGTTCCCCAACCAAAGACAAATTCAGTCATTAGCAATTGAATATGGCTTGTTATGCTAATGAAATAAATGTTATAACTACTATGAATACTATGTTGATGATTGGGAGTTGGGACCTTTCTATATTATAACTTCGTCAAATTTCAATAAAAAAGTGCATGATGTTTTAATTTGATGTGTGTGATTTACAAAATAAATCTTAGTGTCAAACACATAATCAGCTAGAATTAATACTGATGTTTTATTTGATTAAATTACTTAAAATCCCTATGGTTTTTTCCTTATTAGAAATGATATTGTTATATATACTTAAATAGATGATATGAATTGCATGATAAATGAGTCTACCTAAGTATCAATACAAGTATTATCTATTTTTTTCGGCTAATTAACCACTTGGGTTAAGTGATATAAGAAGATTGTCTTTTGACAAGTATTACTATAAATTTACTTCATTATTTTCATTAATTGTCTTTTAATAGTCTTGTATTAGTTATTAATTAATGGGCAACTTTTTTCCGAAACGAATCAAAAAAGGGCAAAAAACAGTTAGTTATTGTTAATATAGAACTATTTTCAAATGAAATTAAAAAAAAAAAAAAAAGAAGAAAATATAAACCAAAAAGATTTATTAAAATTATCATAAAAATGGGAAAGAAACAAAATTAAGGAAAATAAAATAGAAATAAAAGTTTAAGGAGCAAATAAAATAAAACTAAAAATGGAAAATCTAAATTAAAAAATAAAAAAAGTTATAAGAAACTAAGGAGCATCCCTACTTTACTGGGGAGGTTTATAACTGACCTTGTGAGACCTTTTTCGATGATAAAAAATGAATACTAAGTTTAATCTTGTTTGAGGTTGTAAACATCGTGTCATAATATTAAATGGAAACCTCAAACATTGGGCTACGAGGTTATCATTTGGAGTTAGACTTGGAGTTGTAGCTTATGCGCAACCCATTACCCAAGTATCTGGCGTCGTGTTCCATATTTGGGCTGGTCTAAACAACTTTAACTGATTTTTTTATTCCTTAAATTTTAAGAATAATTTTATATTTATAATTGAGTCATACAACTAAGCAAAAAATCTATGACATAATAGTTATTTTACAAAAATTTTATAAAATTTTTGTCTGATTGTATGACTTAGTTATAAGCATAATATTATTCAACTTTTAAATGTTCATCTGAAGTTCAAAAATCTTTCAATAAAGATTGGCTCAGAACTTAATTTTACAGACTTTTTCTTACAACTTCGATGTAGTTGCTCATAATTGGACAAGTAGGACCTATAGCGAGTAGGCAAGACCCATTTACGAGCTGTTATATCGGAATTGTGAGAGAAAGTTTATGAAATTAGATTATAAATGTAGTATTACCCAAAATCTTTTCTTAACCACTATTGTTTATACATCTCCATTGCATGCATGGACTGACCTACATTGAGCCGAGTTGGGACCAGGCATTTATTTGTGTTTATTTTTGTATTTTTACAATTAATGGTCTTATTTGTCTTCACATTTAAATATTTTAAAATTTATTATAGTTGTTTTTTTATACATAACCGATAAGTCTGTATTTTGATTCATTATTAATAAATATGTTTATGAACATTTTAAACTGTCTATGAAATTAAATGAGATTAATAGATAAATGATATATAACTTCGTTGAACAAACAAACAAACAAACATAATAATAATTAAGAACAATTATTTTATATTCAATTTAATTGTGATACTTAAAAACTTTATTTAGTTTATGAAATAATTATAAATTTATGTGACGAAATTACTGTGAATAGATCTTTTAATTTTGTATATATATTATTTTCGTAATTTTTTTTTTCTTAAATTTATCATGTTATGAGGTTAACCCCCTTGAAGAAAATTTATGGAGGTCCATCCCTCTGCTTGCACGTACCAAGAACATTATGGAACCATGTTACTCTGCATAAGGCCATAAGTATACAACAGTATCTTATAGTTATATGTCAACACCATTCATATATAAAGTTGCTCCTTGACAAGTTATAGCTATCCAAAAAGAGAAAAAATAATTCTTCATTTCGGATACTGCCTACACATCATGGTAATTGACTGCATCAATCCCTCCTCAATAATTACATGATCACAATCCATTACTTTATTTGCAAAGAATTACCTCCAATTTTGAGATTTTAGCCCCATGAAAATCGGCTTTGTCATCAATCAAGGACTTTCCAGCATCCCATTTCCTTTTTTCCTGCAAAAGCTAAACAACTATATCCATAGCAAAAAAACTGATGGTCTTTTTCATCATTCTAACGGAAAGCTGGCGAGCTGCTTACCTTCATTATGGATATGTCTGATAAACAAGAATGATATGCATTCAAGCACATGATTATATCCTGATACAGGAATTTTACAGATTTTGTGACCATTCCTTTGACGATTTGTATATTCGAAACGCAGCATAACACATTGTAGCATTACCTATCACTGTAAGCGCAGCTTGAAGAGCCACCAATGCCTAAAGATCATAGATTAACACACGTCATTCAAGATACTTTATCTCAGAATAATCACTCGAAACACAAATGCAATGTTCAACAAAACAGTGCATTGGTTAATGAAAATAACTGTGGTCTTCAGATATTCATATATAGAACTATGGAACTATCCATAGTATGTATAATCACTGTGACCTGAATGTAGTGGATAGAGAAATGCCTCGGCCAAAAGTAAAATATTATTTTGTGTTCCCGTTTTATAACATAGATGTAATGTGAGTACATATTGATTGTTGATTTCTAGTCCAGTAAGCAGATACACTGAACACTAAGTTTATGTATATAAACAGTTAGATGGTCAAAACAGAATTGCAAGGGGGTGATTAAATTACTGATCTGGTTTTTTCAGTTGAACAATACCCGAGATGGAAGCGGTTTGTTTAACACAAAACTAATCCAAACCCCCGATTTCACGTGAAAATGTGTAAAAGTCTGAAACCATATCAATTTAGAATTTATCCTACATAGAAGAGCTTCTGTATGTCCAAGCTTTATGAAACCATTGAACATACAATTTAATTTAAGGTGATGCACATTTTTATTTACCAACAAAAAACTACTTTTTCTGTGTCAAAAGAACAAAATGAGATATACCTTGAGTTAGTCAACCAAGCCTCAGAACCGTTTCGAAGCACCAGCTCAACACAAGACATCATTACTTAATAAACCAGAAACACTTCTAATGTAATCTAAAATGACATTAACTAAATCCTCAAATCAACACCTATCTGACACAGATACCAATATGCAAGTGAAACTCCCTACGTAACACCAACAAAGGTCATTAGAAAGTCAAGTACTTGTGAATACAATATACAATGGAACAAAACCACACACGACACTATACTCAAGAAGCACAACTGTAACTTTATAACAAAATTCAGAGAGCACATAATTTTTTACTCTACAGTTGTAACATCTGCTAAACTCCTTATTCAGGGATAAATACATAGTAATAATTGTGTTAAATCAGTAATTTCCTACAATTATACAATTTGCTTAATTAATTTCAATTGTTCTTTTTATACTCAGTCAAGCCTATCAGAGAGTAACCTAACGAATTCCTGACAGTGCCAGATTTCTTATAACTCCATGTTGCACATATACTTGTAGAATAATTGTCCTTCATTTTCTAATCACAACCTCCCTCAGGGGTTCTCTCCTAATCCTTACAAGTTTTCCATAATTGTGATTAAGCTTTTCATTTATCGGAAAATGGCACACATCTGATTATTGGGTTGTTAACATATAAAGATGGCAAAAAAGGTAATAGTGTTTCCACCTCTAAGTCTTTAGTTACTTCAATATAATAAACTTGGTAATGGGTGAAGAATGAAACATCACAGCAATGACAGGCATTGCACTTCCATAGGAACTAAAATATGAAGAAAATTACAAATACTTGACTAACAATGTACAAAACATGTCCAATTTAACTTAGTACCATAACTAAGAGTTGAATAGAGTGTAAAGCATCAAAGTAAAGTAAATGAACCGTTTGATTAAAACCAGTTAACAATAGCTTCTCCATTTCAATAAATTCATACTATTACTCAAAACAAATGTATAGTAAATAAAGCTTGCCTCAAGAGACTCAGAATTATAAAAGAAATGCCATGTGCATGCACAAAATGCTCCACCAAGCAGGGGTACCTAAACAATAATGGAGAGGAAGAGAGTTTATGAAGAAACAATGCCATTAGATGATTGCGAAACAACAAAGTATGCTCTATAGAAAGTTGTAAATTTAAGTGAGTCATCACTTACTGTATAAATATATTAGAACCTACAAGCCAATCTGAAAGGCTAATACCTAAAAGATATAAGACATTCAAAGACAAGTACGATGCCCATTAAAGTAAGAAGGAAACTAGAATTAGTATCATTCCAACTATTTCCAAGAAGACTGCAACATAAAGGGGCAACGGGATTTTATGCAGTCATACTCATCCTCTTACGGTTTGTGTATTAGTTGCTTTGATCCATTTATTTTCTCGTTTAAGTTGGAATGAGTTTTACAATCCTTATAACTAGGTCAAGTCTATTTAGACTTGTGTTCTGTGGAGTTTAGTATTTAGATTTTGTAAGTTTAGGCTATAAACCAAATTTTGAGGGGGGACTACATTTCACAATGTATTGACTTAATTATAAATAGTAAACCTATCCCTTAAAATCGTATTAAAGCAAAATAGAACAGTCCTAGTTTGATTACTAATGCTTATAATTTAGTGAAGTAATTGAAGAAAATATTTCATAGGTCTTTAGAATTTTGAATAAGCACAAAATTCATCTACGAAACATGTTTACAGCATACACCACTTAATAATGCATTCCAAAATTTTAGGTTAGTCATACAAGGAATGTAATGTAACTAGCAAAGATTGAGAAGAGGAACTCACCATTCCCCATGAAAGACCTTTCCATGCTTCACACTCAGATTTCTCTCCATATTGCCACACTAAAGCCATTGTGACCTTTCCATGCTTCATACTCAGATTTCTCTCCATATTGCCACACTAAAGCCATTGCAGTACCCTTTTGAACAGAAAATTTAGAGTCAATCATACTTCTTCATTTTCCAACTGAATGTTAATCATCGTTATAAAGAGATATTCAAACCCCACAATATACTGAATGTTAATCATCAGTATAAAGAGAAAATTCATACAACTGTACAACACAACAAAATTACAATAATGAATCTATATTGCTAAGTTGTGGTTAGCATTTCATTATCCAAGCAAAACCTAGAGAAAACACACACAAACATGCATAGGAGATACGTGCTTTCTATCAATTTTTCACTCATCAAACTTAGCATTAATGAGTATAAATAAAACACAATTATTATAATAGCCACAATTGTAAGAGAAGAAAACCCTCACCATTCAACAACACTAGAGACATGCACGGCCCACAGGCGGGCAAGGACAAGGCATTGGATGGTTCACTCAGTTGCAAAGATGAGGCCAACAATGGCAATTCAGCAGCTGAGGCATGTCCCACTCTCACCGTCGTGAGGGCCAAAGCAGCTCCAACTAGACCAACAACAACCTTTTCATTGTCAAGAATTACAACATTTTTTATGGGTCTTGGGGCTTGAGTTTTAGACAAGTCAGATATAGCCATTGGTCTCTTGAAGGATTCAAGAAGATCCTTTTCGCTGGAATAAACTCCAACTGCAAACATCAGAAATCCTAATTCCAGAGCATAGTACCTAGAAATAGATTAAATAATAGAATCATAAGCATAATATTTGTAGAACTTACTTCATCAGGTAGCAAATTACTATCATATAAAATTTGTCATCTAAACCATTTAATTTCAATGTCGATCATTCAGAAGTTGCAAAAAAGCTTCTCAAGTAGCAAATATTCTATATCATAATGGAAGCACCTAAACTAATCACAAGACTGCTTTGAATAAACAATGCTACTACATCAATTTGTTGCATTTTTGAAACCATTTTCTAACAACCCTCATTGCAACTCAGGACCAGCTTTCTCCTTATTTGGATATTAAAATAAAACAATAGGCAATATCTCATCAAGACAAAACAGGTCAGACACCAGCGGCTAAAAACTAGAACCCAATTAAAGTTAAGAACTGGAACAGTTTCACTCTCCCCATAAAATTTATTATCACTTAAAACAGATATAAAAGGCTTTTGTTTCAAATCGGTCCCAAGTTTCGCCACAATCTTCTTTAATCCCCTTGTCTGAAAATCAATTTTTTCAGCAGAACTACCATTGATGTCACCTCACACAGCTCCATTCCCATAATTTCTTTAAAATGGATGTTTAATGGGCCAGTAGAAAACAGGTCACACCTGTTTTTCCTTCTTGCCACCATTGATCTCTTACAATTGCACTGAAACCAAATTGCACCCTAAAAGTAGTAAAATTTTAACAAAAAACTGATGATGTAAGTTGATTAAAATTTATCTACATACTATTACACCAAATTATACAAACACGACACAAGAAATTTAACATCAGTATGCATACATAAATATTGTAAAATCATAAATCAAAAGTCTCTTATCAAAAGAACCCGAAAACTTCTCCGACACAGATTTGTTCACCAAATGTCTTGAGCTCCTAATTTTTACTTCCAATAATAAAAAAGAAAAAAAAATATACCCAAATCAATATCAAAGCTAATATAAATACAAATGATACTGAATTGAAGTTTAAAGCTTATACCCATAAATCATAAGAGCAATATCAGTAAAATTACAATTGAGATATGAATTAAAAAAAAAAAAAAAAAACAGAAGACCTGAAGAAGATGAGTGTGAGAGGTTTCGGGGGAAGAGTGGAATGTTATGGTTTGGAATTGTAAAGGAGAAAATTTTCGCATTCAAATGCAAGCGTTGAAGTTGAAACATGTTTAAGTTAGGTTCATCTTCACAAAACAATAGACAAGGTTTTGGTTTTGAATGGATTGAAGAAAAAATGGGGTAATTTTAGAATAAAATTATAAAATATTTTAATTTAAATTCTGTGGGGTTTCCATAAATTGGGCTCTTGCCTTTGGATTCCTTCGGCCTGGTCCTGTCCTGTGATGTCCTCTACAGAATTATTTTCAATGTTATCCGGTGTTTTTAACCTCTTTTAAGCTATGTTAATATTTAATTCATCCACTTCATTATATAAAAAACACTAGTCATATATCAAGCTTTAAACCAATTTTAAAATAGTAATGTTAAGTACATAACCTAATCTCACAGTCTTCTTTCACAATCTCTAACGTGACAACTCGTAATTAGACAAGCGAGACCCATAGCAAGCAGATATGATCCATTTATGAACAGACCAATTGCGAGTTACAACGTTGACAATTGTGAGATTAGGTTGTGAACCTAGCATTACTTATTTTAAAATTTAAAATCTATTTTACCCTTCACATTACTTACCAACTTAACAATTTTTTTAAATCATTCACTCAATAAATATCCAAATCTACAAATTCAATTTTGAACTTACAATTATATTATCTCAACCAAGGTTACACATTTAGTTGATTTTTAGATTTTAAAAAAAATATGATAATTGTATCTTTAAAGGGATAAAGTAGCTAAAAATTTAATGATAATTATAAAAAATGAGATTAGTATGAATGAAATAATTTAAACATGATTAAATAAATAATAAATGTTGAAATATTGTTTTATCAACCCTAAAAATAATTATATTTTAGTTAAGATATTAAAAATGTTATTAAAGCTAAAAGGATATAACTAGATAGTCTGCAATAATTATTTAAAACAAATTTTATTTTAATCAAACATTTTGAAATTTCTATCATAAGACAAACAAAGGCTAGATCTTTTATAAAACCTTTAAGTAATTTTAATTGAGACAAAATTAAAATACTCGTATTTTAGTTAAATTAAGTTTTTTCTTTTTTTTTTTGTTAATGATCAATAAAAATGAGAAATGTAAAAAAATATTGTTTAAGTTGGTAAGTCATGCGAAGGGGTAAAGTATTTAAAACAATTAAATCATCCACCCATGGATATTTCAATAATTTAAAAAGTGTCGGTTAAAAGCTAACGGTTTTGAAATGTTTTCTCATCATCTCTTCTTATTTTGTGTCATGTTTATGATAAAAGTGTTATCTAGTTGATACAAATCATCATTTGTGACTCTTAGATGTATTACTCAAAAGGTCATGAGTTTAAATCCACATGACTATTAATAAAGGATAACCATTGAAGACTTACTTAGCTGTTAACTTTAGGGTTCCATGGGACTAGTCGAAGTACATGCAAGCTCATCCGAACACTCACGAATACAAAAAAATAATAATAATAAATTAAACTTTCGTATAATTAACCATATCCAAACACATAAAAAACACAACTTCACATCATCAACCATCTTCACACACATTAAAAACAAAACTTCAAAATCAAATCTAGAAAGAATGAAATAACAAAAATAGCCATGACATACCATCAAGTCCACTAGCGACGACCATGGCCTTATCCAGCAGCCCCTGTTACAGCCATGGCCTTCAAATTTTTTTTTTTTTTTATATAAACTTCTGTTTTTGGATTATTTTTCTAATTTAAAAAAATAATGAGAGAGATTATAGTTTATTTAAGTTTATTTTTTTATTCAAGTTTATATATATTGCATAGAAAGACGAAAATACCCTTTGATGGTTAAGTATAAATTTGAAATTTAAAAAGTAGGTGGAATATGATGGTTTCAAAATGATTAGACCTAGAAAAACGGGTTTGGATTCGTGGGTCGACCTGCATCCAGGTAAATAATATAAGGCATGGGTATGTATAATTAGACATGTTTTTTTGGCCCCTGTCCTACCCTACCCATTTTGTAAACGGGTAAACCGAGTTCATCCACGGGTACCCGTTTTTAATTAAAAAAAACCCAAATTGTCGTTCTTTGTCTTTCTCTTCCACAGCGTGTGAGCTAAAGCCTAAAACACTTATTTTTTTCCTTCTCTCTCTCTCTCCAAACTTAACTTCTCTTGTTTACTTCACATTCCGCCTTTTTCCTGTCAAAATCATTCACAATCTCCATTCATTCCCCTTCTCTAACCCACTAATTTTTCTTCCCAAAGAGTTTTTCAACAACCCACTCTTCTTCTTTGCAACTAAGGGCCTACTGGGTATAATAGATCCAATTGATGGCCTAAAAAGAACTTGAATTCACCCAACCCTTCTCACTTTTGGTTCATCAAGATAGGCTATAGAGCGACACATTCCATTTCTTCAAATTGTTTTCTCTTCACGTTTCTCAAGATTTCGAAGCTTTTAAGAATTTTTCTGTTTTGGGTTTGTTTTGTGTTGTGGAGTTAGAATGAAAAACATTGTGTAATTTTGGAAAAAGATTTCTTTTCTTTTTGGTTTTTTTAAGGATTTGAGGATTTTGAGGTTGTTCTTTTTTGGGTATTTGCTTTTGGGTTTGGGTTTGGGTTTGGGTTTGGTCTGAAGAATGGAGGTAAAGATGATGAGGTGGCGACCATGGCCGCCTCTTGTGAGTTGTGATGAAGAAGTATGAGGTGAAATTGGTGGTACAGAGGATGGAGGGGTGGGATCTGGTGCATGAGGTTGCAAAGAAGAAGGAAGAAGAAAGATAAACGGTTGAGATTCGTTGGAAGGGTCCTAAAGTCACCTTGAGTACTTTTGAGTAGAAGGCAATGTTTTAAAACACGGCCCGGCCTGGTCGGTTGAGCCAGTTCAACCAGGACCCAGAAGCTTCAACGAGCTGGGTTTAAATTTTTCCTATTCACCCAAAACCCTAGGATTTTCGGTGATGATCGATGAACAATTGACTGCCGGAATGTTGGGGCTTTTGAAGAGCAATTGCTACTGAATGCAATGGTAGTGACGGAGTTGATTTCCGGTGAGTAAATCGACCGAAAATCGAACAAAACTGGCAGTGGCAACAATGGGATTTTTCCAGTGATTGACGAGGCTAACAGGGGTAGGGTGAGGTGGGTTTTGGTCGGGAGGAAAAGGGGAGTAATTCTGGGGCAATGGGGAGGGTTGTCGATGCTGAAATCGATGGGATCTGGCCTGGAATGCCGACGTCGACGTCAGTGAGATCTGGCCGAAATCGAACCTATTTCGGCCATATCTTGGGTATATTTTGGTAGAAATGGGCTCAAGAGATGATTAGGGTTGCATTTAGGGTGTCGCCGCTGCTAATCAGTTGTCGGTCGATTTGCATTTGGGGTGTGTTTGATAAATTTCAAACTTATAGGGACTTAACTGTAATTTTTAGGGGTATATTTGCTGAATTTTAAAAGTTTTTGTCAACCGGTTTCACCAGCTGTCAAACCGGTTAAACCAATCAACCCGGGACCCAGAAGCTTTGTCGGGTTTCACCCCGGGTTGGGTTTTAAAACATTGGTAGAAGGTCAAGAGGAATTTCACCAGAGTAGCAGGTACCCACGGGTCCACCCTACTCGTATAGGGTAGGGTACGGGTCCAACATTTTGGACCTATACCCGTGGAACCTGTTCCGGTTTAGACTCGGATTGTACCCGGCCTACCTGCCCATTTTGCTAGGTCAAATTAGGGGTGGGAAAATGTAATTTGATCTAACTTTAAAATGTAATTACTAAATAGTGTGACCGGACTTAGAAAAGAATAACTTAACCCGACCATTGAAATCCCGTCACTATGGAAGCCTATAAATAAAATATGTACCCGACAAGATCAGTATGAAGCTTATTTAAATGGCGAAATCTCATTTGCCTGCGTATGCTTCCTCTTCCGCAATAATCCACCCTCAAACGACCCCGAGATAGACCCCAATTCCTGCTTCCTTGAGAAGTTCAAGCTTTACGAGACCAGAGCGGCGAGGGTTTCTTGTTTTTTGTTTTAACTATAATTTTCAAATAATTGATAAACTAAGGGCTATTCAACTAAATTGAGTTTGGGTGTTTTTGAGCAGAGGTTCTATTTAATTGGGAGTGACAGGAACAAGAGGTTTTTTCGAGTGTTGAAAATTGATCGATCAGAGCCGTCTGATCTAAATATCAGCGAGAATCCGGTGGTATATTCCCCTCAGGAAATCAAAAACTTGCTTCAACAGATTGATGAAGGAAATCGTGCTACCAGCGGCCTCAACCCTTTGGCTAAGGTTTTCGGTATTGCAGGTCTGGTTAGACTTATTATTTCTTTTTTTGGTGGGAGGGGTGAGAGGATAAAGACCTTATTATTTCTATTATTATTTTTGTGCATTTTCAGTATATAATTGAGTTTTTTTAATTTTTTTTTTTTTTATATAAAGGCTGCATTAAGTTTTTGGAGTCATATTATTTGATTTTGGTTACCAAGCGAAGACAAATTGGATGTATATGCGGTCATGCAATATACAGTATAGAAGAGAGCCAATTGATTTCGATTCCTCATGTCTCTATTCAATCAGATGTGGCGCATTCCAAAACCAAACTCAGGTATTTTCCACTTGTTATATTTTTCATTTATTTGGCCATAATTCATTGGGTTAAAATGAATTTTAATTGAATTTTTATGGATCTAGTCAATTTAAAGTCGTGGATATATTCTTAAAAGATTTTTTTTAATACTTATTTCTCCTTTCTCGACTACTGTGATCTTTACTAGTTGAATTCATCATTTTAATTTAGAGCCAGAATTGGTTCTCATGCCTGGTTATCTATTTGTTGCATGAGAAAATGAATGCCTTAATTGTTTATTTTCCAGAATTTTTACCTTTTTCAGGATGTTTATGTGTGAAATGAAATAATTGCTTGAGTTTATTTATTTATTTATTTTTAAGTTTTTATTTTATAGTGATGCACTCCTCTTGCCATTTCCTTTTTTTTTTTTCTTTTTCAGATCATGGTGTGAAAAACAGTAAAGTTAAGAGAATGGCCATGTATGGTCAGGTTTTCCAATCCATTACCACCAATAAAATGGCCAAAACCTAAAGAAATCATCT